TCAGCAAAGTAGCTGTTACTACTATTACTGGAATAGTAAATCACTACTGATATATTACTGTAGGGATTAACTCAGTGGTTAGCATGTGTTAGTCATCTCCCCACAGAAATGCTGGCAGTTGAAATCCTAATGAGAGCTGGGCTTGGTGGCTCAGTCTGTAATTCTGCGCCTTTGGGAGGCTGAGGTGAGTGGATTGCCTGAGCCCGCGGGTTTGAGACCCACCTGGGCAGGTGAGACCTCATCTCTACAATAAATCAAAAAATTAGCCGGGCGTGGTAGTGTGCGCCTTTAATTCCGACAACTCGGAAGGCTGAGGCAGAAGGATCGCTGGAGCCCAGCAGGTCAAGGCTGTGGTGGCCAGGAGCGGCCACTGCCCTCCAGTTTGGGCGACAGAGTGAGACTCCAACTCAAAAAAAAAAAAAAAAGAAATCCTAATGAGGGACTCTTTCTGGTCCAGTTATTAAAACTCTATTGTTTTGTTCATTTTTGCACTGAAAGGAGTCACTTAGCTATTAGAATTACCTTGCATTCTGCAACAATGCCATGATGCCAGATACCTCTTACAAATATTAGACAAGAATAGGTCTTCTTAATGAATGGATCAGGCTTCTCTCTTTCTCTGTTGTTTTGTTTCCTTTTATCCAGTCTCTATCCTCACCACCTTACCCCACCCTCCACTGCATCACACCCCCAAAAGTTTTCTAGCACTTGGATGTAGTCATGATCTTAAGACAGAGCTTTATCCTGCTCTCTGAAATTCCTTGAAGTGATCAGTCCAATTTCTGCCCCTTCGGCCACATCCATTCCTGTGACAGTGCTCCCCTCCAGATTTTGCTCCCCTTTCCTGTTCCCCACAACTGACATTCCTTTCAGACGGCTTACTGGACTCTGTGACATGTTCCTCCCTTCTGCCTCTGCCCTTGTTTCCTCCACTGGAATCATGTTTCCTTGCCATCTCACTCTTTGTGCCTGTTGAAATTCTACTTAGTAAACCCTTAATTTTGTACCACAGGGGTGTGTGGATGTGTGTGTGTGTGCCTGTGTGTGATCTTTCCAGTATTACCACTCTTGACTTCATGATGCAGTGTGAAAAAAAATACTTAAAACATGTGAGACCTGTTTTTATGCTGTTTGATATTACATGCATCCCTCTGTATTGTAATTAGTCATGGGTAGAGGTAATAATGGCTGACATTTTGAGAGTACATGCCACAACCAGGCGCTATTTTAAGCATCTTAAATTTATTAATAATTTCTACCATCATGGGGTTGTTATTTTTACTCCAAGGTATAATTTACTAAACTGTTATACTTTAAAATGTATATTTATACTAGGAAATTATATGTATCACATATCTATCACATATATATCTTACTATATGTACATACATGCAGACTAAAAAAAATAGAGGGAAACTACATGACTATCAGTTGTGCAATTAGCAAAACATACAGAATCCATGACCTAGCCTATACTTCCTTATCCAGTTTCACCTTCTGTCTCTCTCACATTCTACTTTATGCAGAGTAAGCATAATTCTTCTCTTGTAGAGTTCTGGTGGAGGTGAAGTATGACAGTGTATACAGCGTTGGGATCAGAAAAGATTTTCAGTACATGCCAGGGCTCCCTTCCCATGGCTCGTCTCTGTCTTAGCCCTTAGCTAAGTCTATCTTATTTTTAATGAGTCTATCATCACTGATAGGCTAAGAGCATCTCATAATTCTTTCTAACCTCTGCATGAAAGTTCCATTCAGAATAATTTTCTAATTTCAAGCAAACAGCTTATATACTTAAGTTTACTGCAGAGATGCTTCCCTTGGAAGCAACTAAAATGAACAGTCAGTGGAATCATTTTTTCACTGGCCTCCAAAAACAGAAAAGGTGTTAGGCGAGGTGGGACTCTCAGTGGTGAGATGGAACCTGTTTGGTGTCAATCAGAAGGTATCAGGGGTACCTCCAGCATATGAGAGAGATCAGATATGTGTATCCTCTCTGTTGTGCTGACGTGGCCTTTCTTTTGTGTTTTTTTGAGTCACTTCTCTGAGTGAACTTGGGCAGTAACTAGAGCTGCATTTTATCTTTTTTAATATCTCAGCTCGAAATGCTGACAACTGCTGCAGGCATCATGAATTTTTAATGGATGATGATTAGAAGGCTGGCTAGGGCCTCATTTCATTTCATTGGGCTGCTGTGACACTTGTTTCTTTTGTTATATTTAGACTTCCTGGGTTATTTCCCAGTCCAGACTCATGATCTGTTTCATGAGTGCCCATTGCTCCCATGTAGTTTTTGAGGGTACATTTGAAAGGGAAATTTCTAAAACTTTCATCTCAATTATTGAACTGCCTTAGAGATTTCAGAAGGAAATGCTTCTTAAATTCTTGAAAAGAAATTCAGAGAATCCAAGTCAACCAATATTTACCAAGCCCCTAGCTTTGTAAGCCCAGCTCAGGGAAAAGGCTACAGCAGTTGTCCATTGGGTGGGAATGCAGAAGTGAAGTAGCAGTATCCTCTCATGGTCTGGCAGCAGAGAAAAATGTGCGCATATATAAATAGGATGTGGTGGAAAACATTGCAGTCGAGGTACAGAGAATTGTGGACAAGGAAGGATTGTTGTATCCTAAAAGGAAACTTACGTAAAGAAAGAGGTAATGTATTGATGAAGCCTTGAAAAATATGAATTCAATAAACGTCTGTCTGTTTATTCATTCAGTAAATACTATGCGTCTTTTGTGTGGACCACCATACATATTCATGTTTCTCTGTGCACCACAGCAGAGGAGGGAGATAGATAGTTGTGCACAGGTATCTGAAATGCTTCCTCGTGAACATGGTACTTACTACTCCCTCACATTGCCTTATGGTGCAGGTCATATTCCATGCCTTACTTCAAGAGTCTAGGAAAGTGTAATACTCCTTTCCATAAGTCCACAAGGATTGGGAAGCTGGATATCCATGATGAGTGGTAATGTCTGTCACAGGAGTCACAAGAGCTGGTGTACAATTGAACAGGGTCACGCTGGACGCTGTGGTGATAACACTGCAGGGGAGCAAGAGCAATAACAAAGGGATCCGTTTGGAAGCTTCGGCAGTCATCGAGGCAAGAGATGTTATTGGATAGGTTGATAGCTACGAGGATGGTGAGAAGTTGTCAAATTTTTGATATATTTTAAAGGTAGAGGAAACACGATTTGCCTGTGGAATGCATCTGGGGTGTGAAACAGAGAAAAATTAAGCATGATGAAGTTTTGCATCTACAACTTTAAGAGTATATTTGCCATTGACAGAAATTGGGAACTGTGGAGGAAAGAGTGTGGGGCAGAAGATCAAGAGTTTGATTTTAGACATGTTAAGATTGAACAAGGCCGGGCTCGGTGGCTCAGCCTGTCATCCCAGCACTCTGGGAGACCAAGGCAAGTGAATTGCCTGAGCCCGCAGGTTTGAGACCAGCCCCAGCAACTTGGCAAGACCTCGTCTCTGCATTAAATAAAAAAGTAGCCAGGCATGGTAGCATGCACCTGTAGTTCCAGCTGAGGCAGAAGGATCGCTGGAGCCCTGCAGGTCAATGCTAGGGTGACTGTGAGTGTGCCATGCACTCCAGCCTGGGCAACAGAGTGAGACTCCAACTCAAAAAAGGAAAAAAAAAAAGATTGAACATAATTATCGGGCATGTAAGCAGAAATATTGCATAGGCAGTGGAATATGTATCTGTATTTCAAGAGAGAGGTTGTCTGGGCTGGGGATATCAATTTGGGAGTTGTCGGCTGATCGAAAGTATTTAAAACCATGAGATTAAGTGAGATCTTAAGAAACGAAGCATAGAGAAGAAAAAAGAGCCAACTCTGTGGCTTGGAGCTCTCCAACAGGATGAGATCAAAGAGATGAAGAACGAGCAAAGACAGTGGAGAGGAGCCATGAGATAGGAGGACACTCAAGAAAGTACGAGATACCCTGCAAGGCAAATAAGGCGTTTCAAGAATGTGAGTTACTATTTATGGAGCATTCATTCTATTGAGAAACTTTTGCATACTTTATCTCAACTCAGCAACATGACAATTTTGTAAAATAATATTAGCCTCATTTTAGGGATTGAAAACAAAAGCTCAGGGAGGAAAAATTTATTCACAGATATTTTATATAGTAAAATTAATGCCTCATATGTTACTGGTAGGGTAGTGCCAGCTATAGAAGTTTAGATGATTTAACCCATCTAGTTCAAGCCTCAACATTTTGCTACAAGAGATGGTATGTGAAAAACTTTTTACAAATGCTGTATTCCTCAGACCTGGGGTTTAGACAAAATTAAAGAAAATCAAAGTTAGTTGCAGAGAAAGAAACCTGTTATAACACACAGATTTTCCTTTCAAATTCAAGATTGATTTTTCAAGGAGAATTTTCTCCTCATTCTCTTTAATCATAATTTCTTTTAATTGCTTGAAAATGTGATGATTGGCCAAGCTCGGTGGCCCATCCTGTAATCCCAGCACTTTGGGAGGCTGAGGGGAGTGGATTGCCTGACCCGCTGGTTTGAGACTAGCCCTGGCAACTTGGTGAGACCTTGTCTCTATAATAAAATAAAATAAAATAAAAACTCAGCCGGGCGTGGTAGTGCATGCCCGTGGTTCTTTGACTTGGAAGGCTAAAGCGGAAGGATCGCAGGAGCCCAGGTCTATGCTGGGGTGGCCATTGAGTGTGGCACTGCATTTCGGCCTGGGTGACAGAGTGAGACTCCAACTCAAAAAAGAAAATGTGCTGATAAGAATTGGTGCATTAATTGGAATATAGATGGACTGAATGCTATGAAAGAAAAGGGGAAACCTCCTTTAACAGAGTGAGAATATTCAATGTATTGCTAACCACCTTCAAGATGTGTTCAATAATTAATTGATGCAGTTTCTCTGTGCTTTCCTTTTGAGAGCTTCTAGTGATCACTGTTCAAAATAACTCTTCATTGTGGCAGATAAGAATTCACACTCCTCTTTCTTCCTTTTTATTTTAGATCATGTACAAAATGAAGAAAACTATGCACAAGTTCTTGATAAGTTTGGGAGTAATTTTTTAAGTCGAGACAACCCTGACCTTGGCACCGCTTTTGTCAAGTTTTCCACTCTTACAAAGGAACTGTCCACACTGCTGAAAAATCTGGTAAGACATTTCATCTGAGACTTAAAAGAACTACAGCCTAACCAAAGTATAATATAATATCATCTAAAGAAAACAATTTAATAATCCTTGCCAATCAGCCCTTAGTCCTGGGGTGAAAAATAAAAATCAAAAAGCTTTTTAGTCCTAGGTATGGAAGTCATGCTTAAAGAAAAATCCCACTGTGAAATTCCTGAAATCGGTACCTTTGGCCAGCTGATAGGGTAGATTCATTGAAACTGAGAGGGAAATTCTGTGTCAAACCTACATTGGAAATGCACACTCAAAGTATTGTTCTCACTTGTGTGAGGATGAGCATGCATTTAGGTTTCTGATTTACAAATGATGAGTTACCTCCAACTTCCCACATCCTTTTAACCTCCCACAAAGAAAACAGTTTTGAGCTGTAGGGCACCTGTGGTTTCACAAGTAGATGACAGGAAGAATCCCTAAAAATCTGACTAGAGGTGCTGAGCCAGGAGTGAAGGGTGGGGGGTATCTGTTGGCCAGACAAGCGTGTCTGGGCCTCCCCATTGTTAGGGTACGGACAGGGTGAGGGTGGGGAGGCGCAGCACCACCAGAGCTGGCAAGCCGGAGGTGCACGCTGGGAACCCAGAGATCGGAGCAAATGCAAAGAATTGCGACACACAAAAAGGTTAAGAAAGAAAAGTTTATTTAAAAGTAAATTAGAGAGAGAAAGAGAAGGAAGAGAGAAGATTTACCTCCCCAAGGTGGGGAAGGGGAACCAAAGCCAGGAAGCATGGAGACAGCCATGGCTCAAAGAGCACATGGCCACACCAGACTCTAGCAAGGCAATGGCCCCTGGTTGCTTGTGGCTGAGTCCTTTTAACCATTCCCCTAGATGGGGAAGGATCATTAAGGTGATTGGGTGGTGGTCTGCTTCCACGTCATCAGAAAGGGGCAGACAAGCGCAGGTACTGATGATGTCAGGTGATGGACAGCAGGCAGATGAGTGGGTTAGTCACATGATGGTTGCCATGGTGGGGCTTCTTTGTGTCATGTAGGTTAACCCTAGGGCGGAGTTTCCTGCAAGAGACTTGTTAGACATTTGCAATTCATAAACTCAGACATTTGTAATTCACAAACTCTTGGGACTTTGGCTTTGACAAGGAATCAAAAGTTTACTAGATATTATGCTAAACCATGAGGGCTGTCCTGAGCTTGTATCTGAAGATTTGCCAAAGGGGATGGGATAGGCTGCTGTTTGTCCTGCAGTAGAATGTCTGAACACTTTCTAATGGCTACGGTGAGGCAAAAATACTAAAGAATAAGCTAAGTTTCTTCTAGGTTTCTATAGGTACCATTTACCTATGATGTGCTGCACCACCCTCCCCAGCCCTCACGACTGTCTTCACGCTAGAAACGTTTTGGGTAACACTACCTAGACTGACCATTTAGGTTTTGTTGATTTGTTGTTGTTGGGTGGCATTTGGATGAAGTTATTTCTCTTAAGAGTGCCGTACACTTTTAATTTAATCAAGTCTCTTTTCTCCTAAGTCCTCAGAGACAAGGGTACACAGTGGTACAAAGGTGCCAAAGGAAAACTCTTTTTTTAAGTTGGAGTGTCACTCTGTGGTCCAGGCTGGAGTGCAGTGACACACTCGGTGCCAATCCAGCATCGATCTGGTGAACTCAGGCGATCCTTCTGCCTCAGCCTTCCAAGTAGCTGAAGTATAGGCGCATGCTACCACAGCTGGCTAATTTTTTGATTTATTGTAGAGACGAGGTGTTGCCAAATTGCCCAACTGATCTCGAACTCGTGGGCTCAGGCAACCCCCTCACCTTAACCTCCCAAAGTGCAGGGATTACAGGCTTGAGCCACTGTACCTGGCCGGAAAACTATTTCTGTTATACTTTCCTTCCAGTGTATGCCTTGAGAAAGAGGAGCTGTTTCCTCCTCTTTTCCCCCAGTCTGAGTATACTGCACCTTTACCTCCTAATTTAAGGATCCGAAACTCAACCTCAAGGTCTCCTTCCTCTGGGTCAGTTATTCATATATCAGATAGGGTCGGTGGTCTCAGGTAATAATCTTGTCATAAATCCATTAGATAGAAACAGTTTACAGATGAAGACAACCTATTTGAAAAATAAAAACTTCGTTTCTACAGTCTATTAACATGAATATTTGGCCAATCAGAACATTCTTTTTTCTATCATAAATATATATGTGTGTTTATCTTCCTTACAGTTTAATTCTAACTAGTGATTTATGCATTGAATTAGTCTTATACAGTAAATCAGCTAATCAGAAAGAAAATATTATTGAAAATAGAAGTCGTTTTTATTTTCAGAAACTTGAGAAAATGTAATTTTGAACTTATAATCAAACGTTCCTACACTTTGGGGTTTGTTTAACCAATGATATTTTTGTAAATCTGAGATTCTTTACATCTCTTTTATTCAGAAGAGGGTCCTCTCATTTCCCCTTCCCTCTGGGTATTATTGCCTGTCCTTTTGCTCCTGGCCTTGCCCTAAATGTTGTGGGTAGAAAGAAAGGAAGTGAAAGGAGACTCTGACAATTCACTTTGATAATAGCTGGTAGAAGACTTGCTCAGGGCAGCAGTTCTGGTTTCCCTGAGATATAGGTATTTTCCTATGGATGTCTTTTTTTTTTTTTTTTTAATTCCCAAGAGGCCACATGTGTTTGACTTAAGAGTTAATCACCTCCAAGTTTCCTGAACCAATCCATTTCTGTGCTTTACTGGGCTGCAGGTTCCATTTTGACTGTGTGTATATGTGCAATACACACAATCACTGGTCATTCAAGCAAGCATTCATTGTCTGCATTAACTTGCCCAAAACGTTTCCCTATCTCCATGCAAAAACAACTGATATTTTTTGAACACTTATGATGAATTTGGCAATGTGGTGGGTACTTTAATGTGGATTATCTCATTGATGACCTTGTAACAATCCTATTTTCATTATACCTTTAATGCAGATGAAGAAATTGAGGCATATTGAGATTATATAATTTGTTTATTTACACTATCATTAAGTACTTGAACCCAAACAATCTGTCTCTGAATCCATTGTCTTTACTATTCTGCAGTCTACTGCCTCTGTCACCTTATGCTGCTTGTACTGTTGCCCTAAGTAGAAGGGCTGATCTAGCTATTCCATTATACATACCCCAAACTGTAGGCCTCTTTCCATGTCCAGTCCCCTGCAACGAGTAGAAGTCTAAAGAAAGATCTAAAAGAAATTGCTGGGAAACCTAGTTCATTTAATAAAGAGTGTAAAAACAAATTTCCCCTTAGAAGATGGTGGTAGCATTCCTGAAGGAGCAGATAGAAGAATCAGTTTGTGCTGTGGTTTCTAAGGGAACATTATTGTGATTGGATAAAAAGGCAGTCCCAGGAGTTTACACAGCCTGACAACAGCCAGCAGCTTGCTGCTTCCCTTTTTATGCTTTTCCAGGAAAAGAAGAGCAAACTAGACAGATTGATAGGACCACACCTTGGAGCAGAGGGCTCAAAGGAAGCAGGCTTCCCCAGATGCAGAGGCGGTGGGGGTTGGTTCTGGATCTGCTTGCAGCACCTGCAGTCTCCAGCTGAGGTGCACCCCTGCCCTGTGGGAGCCCTGGATACTCCTGTGGAAACCCATATTTCTGAGACCCAGCAATCCTCTTCTCTTCAGCTAGAAACATTACGCAGTAACTGATACTATTGACAAGCACTTTGGTGTTTTCCATACTTTCTAAATTGTATTCTCAAGACGACCAGCAAGGAACAAATGTCTGTTACATTCCAAGGTCTGTGCTAAATACTGAAAAATGTCATTTTCTAATTAAGGTATTGCTTATGAAGGGTATTTTAATAGTTTATGCTAAAACGTCACTTATTTTTATAGAGAAAAAGGAAAGGTTAGATTTTGAGGCCAAGTTTCATGCTAGCTTTCAGCTCTTGGCTAACCTTAGATGAATTAAAACATTTATTATTTGTTAATTATAAGCAGTCCGTATTCAGAGTGTATTGTGTTTAAGAGTATCTGAAGGGGTGGTTTTGAAAAATATCAATGTGATGGCAACTACATAGCCACTGTTTAGATGCTTTGTTGTTGTTGTTTGAACTGTCAGTGATTGTAGAAAGTATGATCAAGTGAGATAGATTTTATGTGAAAACTTCCAAGAGCTACCTAGAAAGATGTTGGCGTTAACATCACAAAAGGCTGAGGCTGTTTTTAATTAACCTCATGTCTGAGGATTGCAAAGAGGATTGCAATTATAGCTGATTACTCTATGAGCTCATTCCAGAGTTGGTGTACTAAGTCAGTTTTAAAGTAACTTGCTTTTTATACTCCCCCTCTCCTCCAAATTATAGAAAATGGTTCCAGTAAAAAGTGTTCTACCTTGTAATGTAGAATCGAAAGGCTGCGAAGTGTAGGTGGTCTGAGTTTCATGGGTTTTGATCTCAACCTGATCTGGAATCCCAGCTCTTAACGGACTAGCTTTATAGCCTTAGGCGATTCATTTAACTTCTAATGCTAGTTTCCTTATCTGTAAAAAGAGACAATAGTGTCTGTTTCTTGATAGTGGCAGGACTTCATTGAATTCAAGGAAGTAAATCACCAAGCATAGGGATTTTGCTTCACAAATACAAGCTTCACAAATACACAGGGAATTTGCTTCACAAATACAAGCTTCTCTTTGTTATTTACATCTTCTCTTTTGGTTCTTATGGTAACTCAGTGTGAAGGCAGGTGTCAGTCATATCCCATTTTAGAAGTGTATGCATCACATCTCTGAAAAACAATATGCCTGTGAAGTGGTGAGATGAGGGCTTGAGCTCAAGTTCTGACTACAGATCATGCCTTGTTCCAGGGAGGCTGCCCCAGGAATTACGAAGCAGTATTGTTGCCTTGATGAATAGTGTATGATAAAGGCACACCTGAAGTAATGACTGAGGCCTATACCTGTGTCATTTGACTACTGGGTGTGTGTAGCTTGCAGAGTGCTTTCTTGTCTATTTCTGTCCTTTGAT